CTAGCCTGTGGCTCAGGAGGCTGAGGGGCCATCTACCTCCCAGTGGCCATCCTGTGCCCCTACCCTGCCTCACCCCACTCACAGGGCCCCAGGCTTTCCCAGCTATCAGCTCTGCCAGCCACCTGAACAGGTGCCCTCCCTCGGGGTCCTAAACTGTCTTCTTTCTGGTTGGGAGCTGGGACTGTTCTATGTTCTCCCCACAGCCCCTAGCCCAGCCAGGTGGGCCTAGGGCGGCTCTGTTGGCAGCACCCGCACAGCCCCCAGCGTCCCAGGCCTCTCAATTCCCTTGAGAGTAGTGCACTAATGCCCACATTTGGCAGGCCAGGACGCGGAGGCCCAGAGAGGGGGCTGGGGTGTAAGTCCAGGCAGGCTGGCTATAGAGCTGGGAAGGGTAGCTAAGGTTTGGCCAGGCAGAGAGGACGAGGCAGGGAGGGAGGGTCTCCTAGGGGGCACAGCCCAGGTAGCAACATGGCAGAGTAGAAATGGACTTGGAATGATGAGATCTGGGACAACAGTAATATCATAATTGGAATAATTATTATTGCTATTGTTTTGTGATAATAACCAATCGTGAGGACACTAGGCAACATTTTATATGTGTGAACTCAGATGTGGCCCCAGCTCTGACCTTTTCTTGCTGCTGTGGCTCTGGGCAGGTCGTGGCTGCACTCAGGGCCTCAGTTTCCCCACTGAGGCATGAGGAGTTCAAGAAAAATTCCTTGCAGCTGGAGGACACACTGTGTGCAAATGCCTGGAAGTGTGTTTAGAAGTGGTTTGGACCCCTTGACTGGAATGGAGTAGGGGGAATCCCATTTTGCCCTACGCCTCATACAGACCAGAGGGTGAGAACCTTGAGCACATCTTTTTTTTTTTTTTTTTGAGATAGGGTCTCGCTCTGTCACCCAGGCTGGAGTGCAGTGGTGCGGCTCACTGCAAGATCCACCTCCTGGGTTCACGCCATTCTCCTGCCTCAGCCTCTGGAGTAGCTGGGACTACAGGAGCCCGCCACCACACCTGGCTAATTTTTTTTTTTTTTTTTTTTTTTTTTTTTTTAGTAGAGACAGGGTTTCACCTGTCTCTAGCCAGGAAGGTTTTGATCTCCTGACCTCGTGATCTGCCCGCCTCGGCCTCTCAAAGTGCTGGGATTATAGGCGTGAGCCACCTTGCCCGGCCTTGAACATATCTTTATCTGAAATCTTTCATCTTAAAACATCAATAAAGCAGCAAGCCACCCCAGGGATGATGGGTGGAGAAACTAAAACACAGGGCCCAATTTGCTCCTCCTGGGCTGTGAGGCAGGCCAGCCACCCCCGCAGCACAGCGGGGCAGCGCCGTAGTCATGTCTGCCATGATTTTGACCCACAGCCGCACCACCTCCAGTCCCAGCCCCACGCGGCCTGTCCCGGGTGGGACATGCCGAGTGCGAGAGGCTCCAGTTAGGTCCCTCTGCCTGGTCCCAGCCAGGACAGGCTCTGCCTCTGGCCAGTTTGAAAGAGCAGGCTCTCTCCTCCACTGGGCCAGAAGGTACTTGGGGTGATTTGGCGGTAGTGGACTGGAAGTCTGGGCACAGACTGGGAATAAGAGAGAAAGGGGCCTGTTTGCTTCATCGGAGAGGATATAAAGTAAATGAAGCTGGACATGTAAGTAGAGCCGGATCTTGAGTCTGAGGTGTTGAGAATTTACCCTGAGGCCAAGGGAGAAGCCATAGAAGGTTCGTGGGAGGGGGAGGACATGAGACATCCAACAGGTCTGAGCTCCTCTCATAGCAGTAGGCTTTGGTCTGAGTCAGGATGAGTCTAGGACTTGCTCCCCAAGGGACCATGGGGACTGGGAGGAGCAGGGGAGCAGGGAGAAGGTCCAAGCTGAGGCGAATGGCGAAAAGATGTGAAGGAGACGCTCTCTGATCACGACGCACTCAGAGGTACCTATTTCACGTTGCCAATAGGCCAGCCACTGTGCACTTACCCATAATGGAGATGTTATCATTATGAGGAAACTGAGGTTCAGAGAAGTTAAGAGACTTGCATGAGGTCACACAGTGAGAAAGTGGCCTGGTTCAGAGCCCACACCCTTAACCCCATATTCCACCGCCAGATGGGACTCCCCAGACCCCATGGGGAGCTGGCTCAGTGTGGCCTCTCCCACTTGCACCTTATCTGACTCCAGGTCCCACCCTGAGACAGGCTGGTTCCAGGTGGAAGTGAGAGGGGAGCCCCTGGGACCATGCCAGGCTGGGACGGCCACCATCTGAGGTGGCCCCATGTCCTTTCCCCTAGCTATGGAGACCAGGTGCAGCACTTCAAGGTGCTGCGCGAGGCCTCTGGGAAGTACTTTTTGTGGGAGGAGAAGTTCAACTCCCTCAACGAGCTGGTCGACTTCTACCGCACCACCACCATTGCCAAGAAGCGGCAGATCTTCCTGCGCGACGAGGATCCCTTGCTCAAGGTAGGAGCGGGTGGGGGCTGGCCTGTGGGAGTCTCTCTGCGTCTCCTGCCATCTGCAGCAGGGGAAATGCTGACCAAGCATGGGCCTGGTCTCCCTTCCCCAGCAGCCTGGTGTTGTAAGAGGGGTCCAGCCCAGGCTTCAAAGTTATATACTGGTGGCGGCTGTGGTGAGACTTGCAAGGGTGGGAAAGGAGAAGAGGGAAAGAAAAGCAAGGGACAGAAGGAGAATCCCATGGGGACAAACTGTCTAGCTTGTTCTCAGCTCCTAGAATAGTGTGTGGCACACAGTAGGTGCTCAATAAATGTTCATCGCGTGCAGGAAGGTAGAGACCCCCGCTGAGTGTACTGCGCACCATGCACTGAACTGGTCTCTATACTCTGGGAGCCGCATCGTGCCCGTTATATAGATGAGGAAACCAAGGCTCACAGAGTGCAGTGACACATCCAAGGACACTTACTCAGTAGGCTCAGTCCTGGTTTCTGCTCGCAGAAAAGTTGACCTTGGGTGTGGGGCAGCGTGAGTGCTCGTGGGCGAGGTCCTGGCTAGCCACGGGGTGGGGGGTGGGGGTCGTCCACCCCTTGACCTCGCAATAACAGCAATTTGCCAGCCAGCCCTTTCATCAGGTGGCCCCAAGGGCCAGCTCTGAAGCTGATTAGGATGCCGACAGTAGCCACTGGGGTTATCAACCCCAACAGGCTGTTTTCTTCAGGAGCGGGGATGCTGCCAAGGCCTGGGGAGAAGCTGATAACCGCTGCAAAGAAGCTCCAGCCATGTCTTGTTCCCAGCACCCGCCCCCTGCCACCTTTGCATGTGATCAGAGGCCAGTTCATCCCCTCAGTGTCCCCTCTGTTCAATAGGATGAGCCCTGGGGTCTGATATGCCAGGAGAGTCAAACAGTGCCTTGAGAGACCCCCACTAGTTTCTCCTCTGTTGGCCTTCCCTGCCTGACCGAGTGCCCAGGTCACTGTGAGCTCCCAACCTCAGGGGACTTTTCTCTCCAGCTGGGCCCCTGCCTGCCAGATCTCCATCCTCCTCCCTGTTCACCGCCTGGACCAGCTCTGCCCTGGGAGAGTGTGAGGAAGCCAGGACGGAGCTGGGGCAGGGGCAACTGAGAGTTCCCCTACACCCACCACCTCGCTCTGGCCCAGGCCATGGGGTCACCCACCCTGTGGCTCGACTCCAGAGCTGCCTCAGGCCCCTGGGACCCATGACGCCTCCTCCTTCCTGGGCAGACAGTTGCTAATTACAGCTTCTCTGCTGATCCTATCACCCGCCCTGGATGAGATTCTGCAGGTTCAGAGCTGAGATCCTGGTGGGCAGGCAGGGCCAGGGTGCTGGGTGGAATAGTCACAGTGCCGGGCAGACGTGCTGCAGAGAGTTCCTGTCCAGCTGCCACGCACAGGTGGGGAAACTGAGTTCCACAAAGGGCAGGGACCTACCCAGCATCACACATGGGGCACGGATAGGACTGGAACCCAGGCCTGAGAGCTCAAAGTGACAATTCTCTCCCTCAATGGCTGACCAAGGGCAAAAACAGTAAACATGGCTCTTAGCTGCATATCACTTTACAGTTTATAAGGCCCATTCTCATGGCTTTGTGACCTGGAGTCCAAAGCTACCATGGCTACTGCAGAGTCAGGGAAATAAGATCCCAAGAGAAGCAGGGACCTAACCAAAATCCCACCCTAAAACCAGGACTCAGGTCCCCTGGCCCACCAGCCCTATGATCCCAGCTGGGCGGCTGGGAAAGCCATGTTCTAGGTAGATGCAGCATCTGCACAGCAGACAGGCAGGGGTGTGGGCAACAGGAGGCCCAGTGGTGGCATCACCACTGATCTGGACTTAAAGTTCAACTTCAGTGCTGCCCCAGACCCCTCCTCACCTGTGGCAAATCACTTCTCTTGGGTGCCTCTGAGGGAGGGTGGGTTGCAGGGCTTCTGAAAGCGCCCTACTAACCACCTCCTCCTCTTGCAGTCACCTGGGGCCTGCTTTGCCCAGGCCCAGTTTGACTTCTCAGCCCAGGACCCCTCGCAGCTCAGCTTCCGCCGTGGCGACATCATCGAGGTCCTGGAGCGCCCAGACCCCCACTGGTGGCGAGGCCGATCCTGCGGGCGCGTTGGCTTCTTTCCACGGAGTTACGTGCAGCCCGTGCACCTGTGAGCAGCCCGGCGGCCGATCTGGCCGACGGGCCATTTTACAGGAACTGAGGTCCAGAGAGGACATGGACACCCCCAGCCCGGTCAGAGTCACACGGGGCTCAGTGGACGGCCTTGGACTGAATGTGGGCTCCTAACTGCCTCCAGCCACTTTGCACAAATTGGGATGGCCCAGGCTCCCCAGCAAGGGTACCCTGTAAGGGTAGCTCTGGGGCTTCCTGGCTGGTTGCTTCCCATTGGCTGCCAGCTATGTGACACGACGGGGCGGAGTCTGTGGAGGCCCCACCCACCTCCTCTGGTCAATGGCCCCATCTGCCAGGAAGGTTGAGGACTCCCAGGTTTCACCCACTGGAGGCTCAACCTGAGGAACCCTGGCCATGGTGGGTGGGTTCACCTTGGGCTGACCACCCACTGGGCCTGCCTGCCCCTCCCTCAAAAGGCCCCTCGAGTTGTACGAGCTGTTGGGAGGTGGTTCAACCTGGAAGGACAGACTGCACACCTGTTGACCTAAACTCACTGGACAGACTCCAGGTGGACACCACTCCTCAACAGCCCCATGACTTCAACTCCACCTGGGGCACCCAACACCTGTGCCCCACCACAGGACTAGAGGCCCTGAGACCCTGAAAAAGGGGCTGGCAGTAGGGAAGGTGGAGGCACACTCCTCTCCTGTTGGACAGGTGAGCTCTGAGGGCAAGCCCTGGGCCCAGCCACGCAGAGACCCTGGCTGCCCTGGCTCTTGTTTGTTTAGGCCCAGGTTCTGCCCAGACCAGGGGCCAGGAGAGCTCTCAGGAGGCTGAGAAACCTCCAGGCCAGACAGAAAGTTGGTGCCAGAGCTGGGTTTTAGAGATCCTACAGGATCCCAATGGGACAGCTACCTAGGTGGGGCATGGCCCCTACCTGAGAACAGGAGGGTCCTCCAGAGAATGTGCCACCATCAGGGATATGAGCAGGGCCTGCCCAGAGCCTGGGCACCTTTGGGAGCGGGAAAAGTGAGGTGGGACTTGGAAAGCTTTGAATGCCAGGCTGATGGTTGAGGCGATAGTGGGCAGGGAGGGAGGGCAAGGAGGCTCCCTCTGGCATTTGGGAGCAGGTGGGTGGAGGGAGGAGCCCCTGGAGGTGGCTACAGTCCCTTAATGGGAGGCCTTGTTCTGGGCATGTGGGGCTCTCCCTTTATCCAGAGATGGCCCAAGACCCTACAGCCCTGAGTGCTAGCAAATCTCACTGCTCCTGACCTGGCCTGTGTATTCAGAACAAAGACAGTAAAACCAACATCAGGATGTCCATCAGAAATCTAATTTTCTTTCCAATGATGACTGCTTTGGCGCTGTTTTTGAAATGTCACATGTTTTTCTCCCATTTCCCCCCTAAGTTTTCAGGGCTCCTGCTTTGCTGGCTTGGCCAGTTCTTGGGCACTGAGCCGCTGTGCAGCCGTGAGGGGAATCTGCCCCTCTTGGGGCCTCGGGATCCCCATGAGGGAAAAGGGTGGACCTGAGGACTCGGAGCTCCTGCCTTCCTGCCCAGAGCGGCAGTGTCAGGCGAAGTAGGCGTACAAGAAGATGTTGACACACATGAGGAGGATGGCATTGAAGCCACAGACACGGGCCCAGAAAGCGTGTTTCTGGGGCATTTGGCCATCACCTGGAGGGGATTGCAGAAGGAGAGGGACAGATGTGGGACACAAGGCTACACCTGGTGCCCTTGCCTCCAGCCCAGGGTCAAGGTGGAGGAGTGTCTAAGGTCACCCACTTACCTGCTTTGGTTCCCAAGGGCAGATCCCGAGCCAGGGTCCACCAGGTAAGGTTCTCAATCTGTAAGAAACCAGTGGGGATAGGGATGGGGTGAGGCTGGCAGGGTAGGGGTGACCCAGACAGGATCAGAGGTTGGGGATGGCAAGATGGCAGCTGAGTTCAAAAAGGGATGGGGTTAGGGAGTCCAGGGCTAGAAAATTCTGAGTCAGAGCGGGTCGGGGATCAGAATAGGACCAGAGTAAGACACTGTTAGGGGTCAGGGTCAGGGGTCAGGGCTGGCTCACCTGGACACCCTGTGGGGGTGGGGTCAGCAGGCTTCCAGCCACCACAACAGCACCGCTGAGTACGAAGAGGGCAACAGCGAAGTGCAGGTAGTGGATGCTCCCCAGGATGGCCGGCCGCGTGTCTGGCTCTCCGCAGGGCGGGGCTGGGTTCAGGAATTCCAGGACCAGCCTCGTGGCCCCCACCACCAGCCCTGCTATCAGGCCCCAGAAGGCCCCCTGGGGAGGAGGGAGACAGGGCATGTGGGGCTATGGAGGAGGACCAAGGCTCCCCCGACAGGCAGCAGGGAAGAGCAAACTGTGGCATGTCCCTAGGGAGAGCAGACCACCAAGTCCTGTCCCCCGACACCCACCTGCTCGTTGGCACGTCGCCAGAAGATGCCCAGGACAAAGACTGCAGTCACTGGTGGGGCCAGGGAGCTGGTCACTGACTGCATGTATATGAAGAGTTGCCCGCTGTTGGAGCCCTGCAGGACGGGGATCCAGGCCACACTCACGCCGATGAGCGCCACTATGACCAGCCTGTGGGCAGGTGGAAGGCAGGCAGTGGTCGTTCTGGGAGGTTCTTCCTCAGCCCTCTCCCACCTCCCCTGGTCACTAAGACTTGCTCTCTAATCGTTCCCCTGCTACCCCAGCTCCAGCCCCTCCCTGGCCTCTGGTCCATGCCACTGGTGACCTGGCCAGTCCTGCCCTGCTCCAAACCCTTTGGCAGCTCCCTGGCTCCTGCAGGTGTAGCTCCTGACTCTAAGTACTGTCTGCTCCTTCCCTGCCCTGGGTTCTCTGTGGAGCCAGCCCTTGGAGCTCTGCCATAGCCACCCAGCCTCTCCCTCTTGTCTCTCCTTCAAAGCACCTGTCCCAACCACTACATGCACATTTACCTGGGTGTCTACTTGTTTACTGCCTGTCTTCCCCTCCCGACTGGAAGCACTAGGAGAGCAGGAGCCTCATCCCTTTAGTTCATTGCTGTGTCTTCCAGCATACAGTAGGTGCTCACTAAGCATTTGGTGAGTGCATGAATGACCGCTGCCCCCACATCCGGGCCAGACTGACTGCCTGGTGGTTCTCTGAAGACACTAGGCTTTTTCACACTGGCCGGCCTTTGCGGGAGCTGGGACCTCTGGCTGGCACATCCCCACCGCTACAGGCCTGTGCCGCACATCCTTCACAGGGCAACCTCCCTACTAAGGATGCAAGGTTTGGAGCCAGAGGTGTGGGTTGGGGTTAGAGCCTATACTCCCCAGCTGTGAAGCTGGAGCCCTGCTGGGCCAGCATAAGCCCGTCCCCTCCTGTCCCCTGCGTGTCAGCTCCTGCCCGCCTCTCCCCTAGGCCAAGAGCCCCTCCACAGCAGGCACATGCTTCATTTGTTCATCCAACGAGCCACTGGCGAGGTGCCCACCTGGGTAGGACACTACCCTAGGATCCCCAGCTGGGCGATGAGTGGGACCTGGTGCCTGCCCAGCACTCAAGAGTCCAGCAAAGAAAACAGATGAGCCTGTTACCTACACTCAGGGCTGGGCTGGAGCAGCGCAGGGGAAACATCAATCTAGGAGGGCTTCCAGGAGGAGGCCCCCCCAAGAGCCTTGAGGGGCATGGGACCCAGCTAAGGGGACAAAGCTGGTGCAAGGCATCCATCTGCTCCTTCCTGGCTGAGCACCTCACCCCTGTGTCCTGGGTCAGTTGTCATTCCTCACCCCCAAGATGGGTGGTGGGTGACCCGCTGGAACCCTGGCTGTGGTGGCAGGGATGACAGAGGCTATGTGTTCAGCTAGGGTGGGTCCTCTCTGCGCCTGTTCGTCTTCCTCCCTCCCTTTCTTCCCTTCTAGGCCTGAGGGAGAGGGTGGAGGAAGGAGGTGCCACCTTGATTAAGGCTAATTAACCCCTAGCCAGGCAGGCAGGCGGGCGCTGCCCTCCTCAAAGGCCGAGGGGGGCCTCCATTAACGCCTGCCCACCCCGCCCTCTGCACACAGCTCTCCCGCCCAACACCAGACTCTGCATCTCTGTGCCAGGACCCGGGCCACTCCAGCCAGGCCCTTGCCGCCTTGTGCAGCCTTCTTACCTAGTCTGCCAGAGGACCCCCAAACCCAGAGGCTGTTCCTTCTGCCTGGAATGCTACCCCCTCCCATGCCACCATCAGGGTGGACAGTGCCTTCCCGCATCTCTCTGGGCTGCAGCCACAGTTACCGTGGAACCTCTCAAGGAGGGGTGTCTGAGATCTCTCTGAGTCCTGTACAGGGTTTCCGGGAGGCCGTGGGCCCCATTTGTGGACTGAACAGCCGGGAACACAGACAGGGGAGAGTGGGGAGGGCAGTGGCAGAATGTTGGACTGGGGTGTGGGGGCTTGGGGCAGGCAAATAGCCGGGGAGTGGTCATCGTTGTTCCCCAACCTGTGACAGCTCCTCCAGCCTCTGCTTAGCTGGACGGAGCCATCATGGCACCGGCATGGTCCTGTACCCGGCCCTGTAATGGTCTCCTCTCCAGGCCTCTGGACTGTTGGTCTTCTCTCTCTAAGCCTTGCCTCTCCCTGACGGAGGCTCTTGTCAGGCCATTCACCCTACCAGAGATCCATGACCCACGGGGGCCTAGGAGATACCCGCTCCAATGGTAGTGGTTAGGGCAGGAGGAGGCTGAGACGACTTTGAGGGGCTGGGGGTGTTGAGGGTATCCCAGTGCTGTAAGAGGGAGGGGAAGTCGAACTGGCCAGCCTGACACCTGGCACGGGGCCCCTTCTGCTCTAACCAGCTGGCAGCTGAGAGAACTGGGGCCCAGAGAGGGTGAGCAACCTGCCCCGCACCACACAGCCTTGTGCCCTGCTCCTCAGGGAGGCTGAACTCCAGGCTTGCAGGGCTGGGGGCGGGGGGTTGACTTGGCAGAAGAGGTGGGAAGGAGAGTCAAGGGCTTGGGCAGCTGTATGGGTGGGTGAGCTGGCAACAGCAGGAGGCCAGGTCAGGACTTTGGTTGCAGGTGGGAGTCTGGGTGAGGAGACCAGGAAGTAGTGGGCAGGGGACATGAGGGCCACTGGGCAGGTAGAGGGGCTACCAGTGTCACACACTGGGTGGCAGAAGGGCATCCAGGGCCCAGGATGCTGGAGCATGGAGGGGCTTAGAGCAAGGTCTGGCCGCAGAGGAGACGCATGGTCAGAGAGGTGCAGGGTCTTCCCCAGGCCACACGGCTTCTGAGGAGAGGCAGGGGAGCCAGAGGGGGAGAGGTGGTCAAGGGGCCAAGTGCCCAGGACACAGGGACATGGAAGTGTCCTGCCCAGTGAGAGGCGGGAGGCTCCTTGTTTTGGAGGATCCTGTGAGCCCGTGGATGAGCTCACTCGCACCCGCCTCTGACATGTCCCAACAGGGCCCTTTCGACAGAAGTCTGACTGCTTTGCATCCCCAGGACGGCTGCCTGGAGCTCGGAAGGAGACCCCACCCCCAGGATGGGTGCCCTGGGCTCCTGACCAGGGGGTTCACTGTTGGCCAAGCTAAGTGCCAGAAGGCTAGAACCCTGACCAGCAGAGTGTGGGCCACACTGCTTAGAGGACAACAGGAGGGAGGGACTGGAGGGGCAGGGAGGGTGCAAATAGACACACACGTGCACATGGGAGCTAACCTCTGAGGATGTAAAGGCATAAGAATGATAGAATGGGCTGGGCACACTGGCTCATACCTGTAATCCCAGCCCACTGAGATAGGTGAATAACGTGAGGTCAGGAGTTCGAGACCAACCTGGCCAACATGGTGAAACCCCGTCTCTACTAAAAATACAAAAAGTAGCCGGGCGTGGTGGTGGGAGCCTGTAATCTCAGCTACTCAAGAGGCTGAGGCACGAGAATCTCTTGAACCCGGGAGGTGGAGGTTGCAGGGCGCCAAGATCGCACCACTGCATTCCAGCCTGGGTGACAGAACGAGACTCTGTCTCCAAAAAAAAAAAAAAAAAAGAATGATACAATGTACTTTGAGGACTCAGGGGAAAGGCTGGGAGGGTGTGAGGGATAAAAGACTACACATTAGGTATAGTGTACACCACTCAGGTGATGGGTACACCAAAATCAAAATGTCAGAAATCACCACTAAAGAACTTATTCATGTAACCAAACACCACCTGTTCCCCAGACACAGCCCTGGTCCGCATGAAGAGCCCAGATATGTAGAGAAGGGTGTCGGGGAGGTCTCTTGGCCTATAATGGCCACGTGTGCTGTGGGAAGAATCTGGCAAGAGTTCCTGGGGTATGAAGGGGAGAGGGGCTCATTCCTTGGTTGAGGGTCTCAAGGAGGACTGCATGGAGGAGGGGACACAGGTAGAGTGTAGAAAGATCAGCATGAGTCATCAAGGTGTAAAAGGAGAGGACAAGCTGGGCTGGGAGGAAACAAGCCGGAGCTCAGTGGGGCCAAGGCCATGGAGGCTGAGGGATGTGGCAGGTCAAGTGTGGACAGTCCTGAGTGCTAGCACGGGGGCCCTCTGTGGGGCAGCTGGGAACCATCAGGAGGAATGGGGGCCCAGGTTTTGGGGGAGATAGAGAGATCTGTAGCATGGCTGGGGAGGGAGGGCTGCCCCTGCAGAGGGAATCCAGCTCGGGGGTGGAGACGCATCCCAGATGAGGGCTGCGATCACACAGAGGTGGACAGGAGAGCAATGTGAGAGGTGGTATGGACGGGGTACACTGGGCCCTTCTCTTCACTCCTCCCTGGCATCCACCTTTCTCTAAGTGGCAAACTCCCGCTCATCCCTCAAAGTCAGTGCCGGCGCCCACCCCCATACCGTTCCCCCACCCCCATACCGTCCCACCAGCAGCAGCTCTCGCTCGCCGGAGCGGGGCCGCAGCCGCCTCCAGATGTCCATAGTGAAGAGGGTGCTGCTGCTGTTGAAGATGGAGGTCAGCGACGACATAAGCGCGGCCAGCATCACTGCGATCATCAGCCCCCGAAGACCTGGGGTGGGACGGGGGATGCGTGACCCTGTCCGGTGACAGCCCCGGGAGCCCCTCCAGCCTGGGGTCTACTGCCTGAGGCCTGCCTGCCATTCCCACGCCCCTCCAGGCAGAGGGCCAGGAGGGAGAGAAGCTGAGGAGGTTTGAGGTGAGCAAGACCCAAAATGAGGAGACTGGGGAGGCCAAGGACAAACCGTGGGGACTTCGGAGCTGGTTGCTTGAGCCCTAGGCTTGCTGGCAACCCTAGGCCCAACCGTAATTACTCATAATGCTGAGGCCGCGATCAGACCTCTCCTTTCTGCAGAGCCTGGCGTTGACAAAGCACTTTCACACCCATGCCTCTGTCTGAGGAAAGCGTGATTAACCCGCCTGACAGATGAGGAAATGGAAGCTCAGAGAAGGGAAGAGATTGCCCAGGGACTCACAGCAGGCCAGAGGCAGAACTTTGGGGTGCGGTGGGGTTGGTGAGGAAGGCTTGGGCGGGGCCTTTGCTTGAAGGTCACACCCTGGGCAAGATGCACACCTCACCCCAGCATGCAGTGCCCCAGTATCTGGAATTTTCCACCACTTCCTGTGCATGGCAGGACCCAGCAGGCATAGTGGATCCCCTCTCTCCTTGGCTCTGTGGTTTTCCAGAGTGGGAGTGAGGGCTCCCCTAGGAGGTGCGGGTAGCATTGCTGTGAAAGGCCTTCTGGGAATTGTAGGCTCAAGAGGGCCTGGGGGTGAGGAACCCTAAAGAAGGTGGAAGGATGCTGAACTGCCCGCTCTCTGCTGTGTGGCTTCAGGCTGGTCACCTCCCCTCTCTGGGGACAAGTTCAAGTCTGTCTACAAGGACTCCTACAATTTTAAGCAACTCCTTTACCTCTACAAACTTTTGCCCGTCTATCCTAGGATAAGCCTGGCATTGGCCTCCCTGTCCCGAAGGCACAGCCATTTATTGCCTGGCTGGGTTGTCTGGCCTTGGTTCTGCGTCTGATTGGCTGTGTGACTTCCAGGAGTCTCTGGGCTCTCTGTTCACTTGTCAGAAGCTGACTAGGATGGAGCCCAAAGGAAAATGAGTCAAATCACAGTTTTCCCCAAAACATTTCTCCACCCGCCCCCTTGTCTTGCTCATGGAGATGGATGAACTTGGAGCTTATTCCATTCATTTCTTAGAGAGGGAACTCAGGGCCTAGAGAGGGATTGTGGCCCAACAATGGCTCGGTGTCAGCCCCGGGGGACTTAGCAAGTCCCTTTGCCCAGAACAGAAGAGAAAAGCGAAGCCCTTAGGTGGGAACCACAGCGTGGCCAAGCCTGCATTTTCCCAATGTCATTATGTTTAATCCCAGCAACAACGCTGAGGGCTGGGTAGATTCCATTATCTCCAATTTACAGATGAGGACACCCAGGCTCCAAGCAGGGAAGTGACATGCCCCAAATTCCTTGGCCAGCTAGTGGCAGAGCCAAGATCTGATCCGAGGTTTGTGTACTCACGTCCATTAGGCCTGAGCTCTGCAGGACGGAGGGAGGGAGGGAGGGAGGGAAGGAGAGGAAGAAAGAGCAGGGTGGGGCTCACCCGAGGGACTGAAAGCTTCCAGGAAGAGGGGATTAAAGGGAGGGGGTCAGAGGGAGGGGGACCAGGGAAAGCTCCAGCACCTGAGAATCTGTACAGGAAAAGCTTGGGCTGCCAAAGGCTCAGGAAACTGTTTCTGCTTTTTGCTTAGGGTTGAACCTCCCACACCCCTTGCCATGTTGCTTCCTCCACCTTGCATACCTCCTGTGATGGGGAACTTGCATACCTCCTGTGATGGGGAACTTGCATACCTCCTGTGATGGGGAACTCATCACCCCACATTAGAATAGCAGGGATGCTGCTACCACGAGAAACATGGAAAAAGCCAAAACCTGCCCACTAGTTCTACCTGTCGGCTTGCAGTGTCTCAGGGCGGGGCGGTGCAGAGGATAGGCACTCATGCCTGCAGATGCAGTGGGGGGTCCTGAGCTCCTGATCCCAGCAGAGTAAGCAGTTTGTGTCTTGGGTTTGTGTCTCAGTGACTATATAACCTCAGACAAGTCACTTTCCCCTCTCTGTGCCTCAGTTTCCCCATCTGTAAAATGGAGCCAATAACCCTATCTTATAGCATTTAATGAGAAACTGTTAGTAAAGGGCCTGGCGCCCAGTAGGCATGCAAGAGGAGAGAGTGGGTGGCCTTTCTCAAGAGATGGTACAGCAAGAGATAGGAGGTCAAGGTGTGCAGGCAGATGCGTCGAGTCAGAATCCCAGCTTTGCAGCTTACTTGCCATGTGACTTAGACCAGGTCACTTAACCTCTCTGGATCTCAGTTTCCCTGTCTTTAAAATGGGGATGATATAGGCCAGGTGCGGTGGCTCACGCCTGTAATCCCAGCACTTTGGGAGGTCGAGGCGGGTGGATCACCTGAGGTCAGGAGTTCCAGACCAACCTGGTCAACATGGTGAAACCCCGTCTCTACTAAAAACACAAAAATTAGCCAGGTGTGGTGGCACACGCCTTTAATTCCAGCTATTTGGGAGGCTGAGGCACGAGAATAGCTTGAACCTGGGAGGAGCAGGTTGTGGTGTGCCGAGATCACACCTCCATCTCAAGAAAAATAAAAAAAAAAATAAAAATGGGGATGATACTAACAGCACTAGGGGTTCCCGAGAAGAGGAGGCCAGTGCATCACCTGGGAAACCCTGGGGATGGTGGTGGCATGCAGTGGGTGTTCGAGTGTTTTCTATTGTGAGTGCTTCTGTTCTCCTCTCCTAGGAGCAGAACAGCCCATCTGGATGTCACCCAGCATCACACTGGATCCACAGTGGCCCCCACAGTCCCCACACTCATTGGGCCCCAGGTCCCAACCCACGCCCTCCACCCAGACCCCCACCCACACAGCCTCACCGATGGGCATCAGTTCCATGACCAGCTTGGGGTAGGCGATGTTGGAGCAGCCGACCTCGGCCCCGCAGGCCCGCAGGCACTCGGATGGCACCACGCAGCCCACGTCATCTGTTTGAGAGAGGGACACTTGGTGTCTCTCCCCATAGACATGGGCACCTGGGGTGGGCAAGACAGGGCTGGGGGCAGGAGCCTGGCCCAGACCTGCTCTGTCAATGCCTCTGGCCTGTTACCATTTGGCCCTGGGCCTCAGTTTCACAGGGGAGTTTCACTGTTTCACAGTTTCACCGTTTGATCCAGCTGCCCTACCCTACCATCTCTACCCCCATTAGCTTTTCAGGAGCCATGGGGAGGGCATGGTCTCTGAAAATCCTTTTCCCTGCTGTTCTCCATCATAACGCTTCTCCCTGATCCCACTTCCCCTTGGCCAGGGGGCTCACCTGCGGTTGGCTCTGCTGTGTGAGGTCCGCCATTAGAGTCTACCTGGGGCCTGAGCCTCCCTTGTCCCCCTCGTCCCCAGCCATTCTCCCCAAAGGGGGAAATGGAGGCTAGAGAGGAGACAGCCCTGCAGGATGGGCCCTTCCCCAGGCCCTCAGCCTGTCCCCTGGGCTTTGTGTTCACTCAGCAACAAGTCGATAAGTGGCGTCCGTCCATGGGCAGCTGGCTTGAGTGTGCTGTCACACAGCTGCAGCTCAGGCAGCAGGGCTGTGGTGAAAGCTCAGGGACTGGCAAGGCCTGCCTGCTCCAGCTTCCTGGCTTAGGACGTGGGGTCAGAGCCCATCCATACCTCTGTCTCCGACCCTGGGGTCCAAGCTTTAGGCCAGGCTATTTCCTGCTGCAGATTGCTGAGCTGATGCCCAGGACTCTCCAGCCGCTCAGCCTCTCAACAGTCTGCAAGATCCTGGGTGATCCAGACCCTCAGCCCCTCCCCGCAAGTCCCTCCTCGCTCCCACCCCAGGCCTGCCCCAGGCCTCCCCTGAGGACTGCCTCCTTCCTGAATTCGGGTCTGTCCTCTCCACCCCATTCTCCCATCTGTCCCCTTGCCCTACATCGCTTTCCCTCATCCCTTGTCATCCCTGGGAGGACTTGGACATGTTTATTCGGTTCTTGCCACTTCCCCGTGGCAGATGAGTCCTGAGATGATGGGATTTGCCTCGTGCTATCTCCCCCATGGCTGGGGTGGTGCACACGGCTCATGTGTTGAATGAATGAAGGACTCACGAATTTCCCAGGCTCAGGCCAGATCCCAACTGAACCCTAAATCCAGGCATCCCTCGGCCTCCTGCCCTGTGTGGGGCAGAACCCCGACCCGCATCCATAGCCTTGATGAGGTGTGGGGCTCCCCTCACTGCTCCGCTCAGTGAGATTTTGCTGGTGTTGGCAGTCGCGGGCCTGACTTTGGTCTAGTGATGTAGGGATGGAGAGAGTTGACCCACATTCACGGTTTCCTTCCATAAAAGACTTTCTAGAAACCTTTGGCCCCTGCTCCCGGGGGTTTTCAGCAGGACCCAGAGTGCAGAGCTAACCGGGAGACGATGATTATGGGGGAGTTCAGAAACAAGTTGACTGACAACACTGCGGTGGCCTGTTAGGGGCAGGCCGAGTTGCAACACAGCAGCTGCAGGGGCGGCCGGCATTGACACTTCTGTCTTAGCGCTCCCTGTGTAGGCTGCACCCTCCAAAGCCCCTTTCTGATATGTCCCTTCTTAGATGCCCAGCCCATGGGGAAGGGCGGGCCTCAGACCTCTTCCTTCAGGCCAGCTGGGCTGGGGCAGTGTCCTCTACCCTGGCACCCTTGACTGTGTCCCAGTCTCCAGCCCAGCCTGTTTGAGCTCCAGGCTTCCTAGACACCAGGTTCCTGTCATCCCCCAGGCACCTCCCTGGCTCCTCCCATCAGCCCCCAGGTCCGTGGCTTCTTCCCCCTCCCGTCTGCGGCCCACCCTGCCCAATCCCAAGCTCCTCCCCAGCCTCCTGTCCGTCTTCTCCACACTTTGGAATCACAGCTCTCAGCATATCACTTATTTCTTTTTTTTTTTTTTTTTGAGACGGAGTCTCGCTCTGTAGCCCAGGCTGGAGTGCAGTGGCCGGATCTCAGCTCACTGCAAGCTCTGCCTCCCGGGTTCACGCCATTCTCCTGCCTCAGCCTCCCGAGTAGCTGGGACTACAGGCGCCGCCACCTCGCCCGGCTAGTTTTTTGTATTTTTTAGTAGAGACGGGGTTTCACCGGGTTAGCCAGGATGGTCTCGATCTCCTGACCTCGTGATCCACCCGTCTCGGCCTCCCAAAGTGCTGGGATTACAGGCTTGAGCCACCGTGCGGCTATTTTTTGTATTTCTTAGTAGAGACGGGGTTTCACTGTGTTAGCCAGGATGGTCTCGATCTCCTGACCTCGTGATCTGCCCATCTCGGCCTCCCAAAGTGCTGGGATTACAGGCTTGAGCCACCGCGCCCGGCCCATATCACTTATTTCTTAGGAACCTCCTCCCTATCTCCACCTCTCAGCCCATGGCATCCTGAGGAAAAAAAAAAAAAAAAATCCTTTCTATGGCATTCGAGGCCCTTGACAATTGGTCCCAGAACCTCCCATCCCAGCACCATGCACCAGCCACCCTGACCTGCTTGCATTTTCTCACACACACCCAGCACTTGGACGCCTCCATGCCTTTGCAGACGCAGTCCCTCCTCCCAGGGCACTACCGTCCATCTAACACCCACCCCCACCCTTGTTTACCTCCTGCTTCAAGGCTCATTGCAAAGGGCTTGTCCTCTGAGGCCTTCCCTGACTCTCCCACCCCCCCAGGCAGTAGAAGCTTCCTCCCAAGGGCTCCTAAGGCCAAAGATTGAATCATAGTTGTTTGTTTACATAGTCTACCTTCTCCACCAGGACTGAAGCTCCCCAAGGGCAGACACTGGGTTTGAATCATCTCCAAGTCCCAGGTATGGCCCAGAAGAGACTTTCTGGGAACACTGGTTGAATGAATGAATAAGTGACTGCATGGTGGGGAGGAGGGAGGAAAGGCACAGGAGGAGAGGAGGAGTGGGAGGAGGCATCCCAGAAAGAGCGCTGTTTGATCCAGCTGCCCCATCCTACCACCTCTACCCCCATTAGTTTTTCAGGACCAGAAAGGACATAACTTGCCTGGGGGACACAGTCAGATCCAAGACAGAGCCAGGGACCCCATGGCAGAACTCTGAGGCCACTGGGGTCCAGGATTCACAGGACAGGTGATGGGCCACTGCTGATGGGCTTTGAGCCTAGGCAGGCGGATTGGCACTCAGAGGACCCAGCCCTCCTGGGAGGGATAGGTGAGGTGTCGCAGCCATATAATGGTTCAGACCCATTCCAGGCTCTCGGCATGGGAAACCGCCCTGAGTACCACTGGTTTGACTAAGTGTTTGTGCTGAGCAGCAAGAAAGAACAACTTCTCCTTTGTGAGAACAGTGGCAGTGGTGTCACTATTGAAACACAGTCCCCCAGGACTCCAGAGTAAGCAGCCCCGGGGAGGCGGAGCGGGCGGCAGTGAGAGTTGGGGAGCTGGCAGGGGTCTATGGATTTGCCAGGGTGCTGGCTTCTGCAGGCCTAGGAGTTCCCCACTGGGCCCCACTTTTGCATCAGCCCTCCGTCTAGCCAGGGCCCATACCAGAAGCCGGGGGTTGCCTCTCCTCGTCCCTTTGTCTTCCCTCCCCATGGCCAATGCCCAGTCCTGTTTGATTACTGCACTACCTCCTCGCTGTGCCTCCTAATCCACTCCCACTGCAAGCAAGCAAAGGGAACTTCTAAACCCACCAATCCGCCCATGCTCCTCCCTGCTCACATCCGCTCCGTGCCTCTCCAGCCGCTGCAGGGGGATCACAGGCTCTAATCAAGGCCCTCCCACACCCCTTGCTATGGCCACCTCGCTCAGCCACCCTCTCCTTGACTAATTTCACCCAGGCTTCTGGCACCCCAGGCTCTCCTGGACACCTCTGAGTCTCTGTGTTTGCTGTTCCTTCTCCCCGGAACACCCTTCCCACCTTCTGCCCTTCCCTGGGTTTATCCCAGGGAACTTACACTCATTCTTCTCAATTCATTACGGACGTCTAAGCCCTTCAGGCTTTGGGGCTATATCCTCCACGGCACCAATAACTCTATGCCCTGTGACTGTCCTGTCTCCCACCCAGACTATGACTATGGGGCCTCAGGGAAAAGTCTGGGTCTCAACAGTGCTTAGCACAAGCAAACATACGGTAGCTTCTGCCAGTGTCCGTTGACTGAGTGAATGATTTTCTCCCAAGTAGGTCACTGGACAGAGTCCCTTGAGGGGTAATCAAGGTGCTCTCCACTCCCTAACCAGGCCCGACCCATTCCCAGGAGCCAGTCCAGACACTGCCATTGCAGGAGGGAGCAGGAGAAAGGCTCCCAGACCTGAGTTCAAATCCAGTTATCAGCCATGCAGAGTGGCTTACATCTGTAATCCCAACACTTTGGGAGGCCGAGGCAGGAGGATTGTTTGAGGCTGGGAGTTCAAGACCAACCTGACCAATATAGGGAGACCCCATTTCAATTAAAAAACAAAGCCTGGACCGGGTGCAGTGGCTCACGCCTGTAATCCCAGCACTCTGGGAGACCGAGACAGGCGGATCACGAGTTCAGGAGATCGAGACTATCCTGGCTAACATGGTGAAACCCCGTCTCTACTAAAAATACATTTAAAAAATTAGCCGGGCACGGTTGCGGGCACCTGTAGTCCCAGCTACACGGGAGGCTGAGGTAGGAGAATGGTGTGAACCCGGGAAGCGGAGCTTGCTGTGAGTGGAGATTGCGCCACTGCACTCCAGCCTGGGCGACAGAGCAATACTCCGTCTCAAAAAAAAAAAAAAAAAAAAAAAAAACAAAGCTTGGTGAAAGCATGTCTTTCCCAAAAAAATTAAAATTAGCGGGGTGGTTCGTGCCTGTAGTCTCAGCTACTCAGGAGGCTGAGGTAGGAGGATTGCTTGAGTATGAGAGGTCCAGGCTGCAGTGAACCATGATTGCACCACTGCACTCCAGCCTGGAGGTGACAGAGCAAGACCCTGTCTCAATCAAACAAACAAAAACAACAAAACAAACTCAGCTCTCCCAATCCCTTGCT